ACCATTTTTAATGATTAAAGGAAACGGTGATAATAATTTTTACAAGTTATTATTTCGTGGAAAATTTAGAAAATCGATACGACAGCTGATGTTCGAAACAACGAAACCATGAAATGTTATCGTGGTAAGAAAGAATATGACTGTAAAAAGTACTCTCCAATGTACATTTGATTTATGATACATTTCGCTCTTGAGATTATATTCTGAGGTGATATTACTTCTGGAAAGACCTGATACTTCAGAGCCAGGAAATGAATTATTGGAAACTGTAAAGCGAAATATCGAATCTGTTATTATTAATAGATAGCTTGGGGTAGGTCTGGGTCATACATACGTATATGTGAATACGAGGAACACACTCCTTATTTATTTCGTCGACGAAGTTTCGATCCAATTTTACAGAGAAAACGACTTTCTGTATTCTTCCAAGTAACAGCTTTTGCACTATTTAACATATGCCACTAGGAATCACACAATTTATTATTAAGACAGTAACACCGTGACAAACAGTTCATTTGAATCTCCGTTTCTCACTTTGATCCTATACGTAAGGTTTTTTTTTAATTTAATCGTAAATATGTAGCTGCAAAAAAGATTTGCAAAAAGAAGAACAGCAAGCACATTTCGTGAATGATCCCGCGAATACTCGCTGGAGAGTCTATTCCCGGCAAATCGCGGACGAGCGAGTTGACATTTTTCGGCGGGTCGGTCGTTGCACTCGGTGCAACCCATTTTCCAACGGGCCACGACCCCGCTTCCTCCCTGGAATACGGGTCACGCAGCCGGTGCACCCCGTTTCCCGTTTCTGCCCAGCCGTTTATTAAGAAAAAGAAGAAAAAAAAAGGAAAAGTGTATTCGGCGAACGAGATTTCGCGGTTCAAGACTGTCCGAGGGACCGAGGTTCATTTCAGGCGCAGCCCGTTCGTCTATGTATCTGTTCTCTATTTTTCGGTTCACACGTATCCGAGGGTGCATCTCCGACGATGTACGAGCATTAAATCCTGGAAACGCGATCCCTGACGGAACGTATACATTATTTAGGAAATTTTCCCGAAATAAAAAGATTGAGTAGCGTCATCTCGCGGTGAAATCGCGAACTAGAAAATAAAAAATACAAATGTCTCAGCAACCCGGTGGCTCACATTATTCCTTGGAATCCAACGCGTTAAACCTTACACATCGTAAAACTCTCACAATAAGTATGCTCGAGCTATAAATCTTAAATATACTCGAGCATTTAGTGTGACATACATTATTTCGAAGTTTTCAAATGTTCCTTTTCAATCCACGTTCATTGAGAACGACAAGTTCCTTGGAATCCAACTGACAATAAGTATGCTCGAGCTATACATCTTAAATATACTCGAGCATTTAGTGACATACATTATTTCGAAGTTTTCAAATGTTCCTTTTCAATCCACGTTCATTGAGAACGACACGGTAGAGCAAAATTAAAACAACTTTGCAAGGTAGACTGAACATATTGCACAAATCAGTTCGCGCAAATTATTTGAACGTGTAAACGAGTCTTAAGCTAAGAGTTGTTCATATTAAGTGATATTAAAACGCAGGTTTTCATGAATGATTTTGCTCGAAATTAATGTTTAAAGAGTAGAAATTATTAGGGGTCTAAACGGACCCAGGCACCCCTGCTGTGCGAACATTAAAAAGGTCCGCCTTCCAACGGTTAAAAAACCGGCGCGAATTTTTCAAATGTTTAAGTATTTACTGTCAGTAACGTTCTGTTCAAGTTCATTTTTGCGAAAATGTAATTTCTATCTTGTTTTCCGAACCGTTTGTTTTATATGTATAGGATATTACGTTTAACATCCGTTCGGAAGATTTCCAGATCGTTGGGAGATTTTACAGAGTTTTCGCGTAAGGTAGTCCGATTTACGATAAATTCAAGACGCGTCCTCTTATTACGGATACGATGTCGAGTTCGCCCAAGGGGATGGAAGAGAATTTCGAGAGAGTTTTCATCCCTCAAAAGTGAATATTACGCGGCCCCTGTGTGTGCTCGATCCGCCACGCGGGAAATAAGTTTGCCAGGCAACTTTCCATAAATTCACGTAATGGTTCGATATACACCCGACGCTTTTTATCGGGTTCGACGAAAAACAGATCACCCCGTTGTGTAAACGTTCACTTGCCATCGTTGCTGCACACGTTAACGACATAAGTTCGATGATCGTTAAATAAACGATTATTCAAATTATATTTTCATGTTGAACATGGCACCTCGACTTCGCTTCCTGTTATTTTATGCTTTTCACCATTTCTATTGTTACACGAGCATATATTCCCGTTATTTTTTAAACTCATAGAGATAGTTGAATGTTTTTTATTATTGACAAGCAACACGGTCTTTTGCCAAGTCACTGGTTCCTCTGCTATTATCCCGTGTGGTTCCATTGATGAATTTAAGAATCGCCTCAGAATGGGTGCAGATTTACGGAGGTTTCATTCTTTTAGTCCTACGGGGTGTGTCTTTCGAGTGGCGTCTGTGGATGAAATAATAATTGGGATACTTCAACTGTGTTTTGTAGCCACGTCTGTTGACTCTATGTATTGGATGTCATTATCATTGCCAGTTTGCGGTATACTATTACTAATAAAATTTTGTTAGCTCTCTCTTTATACTTACTCGTTCTAATAATGGCATTCGATTGTTGCGATGTATTGCGAATTTCTTGTGTATTTGTGACCGATGCACTGTGAGATTTGCTACGTTATCAGTAACGTAGTAGCAGTTGTCCATTTTATCCACTGTCTACTTTTGTCAGTTAAGGTGATCGTGGGTCACATCTCTCATAAAACACATCTAGACGGTGTAATTGTAATTGCGGAAATTGAGGTGTATTGAAATTTTGGCTGGTTCCTAGATCTATCAAGTAAGCGGTGGCTCTTTGCTCGACCGTCGCCCGCCTTTGTAGCGAACGGCCCATTGACATTTCGCATGCTGTCATGTCTGCCGTCAGCTCCAGACGTGCCATGGCGATTACCTCTAGGCAGTGGTTCCTTTTTCAAAGGCTTTATTTCCTACCGTGTTCGTGGGTGATTCCTTTTAGTCGCCTCTTACGACAGGCTGGAAATACCATAGGACTATTCTGACCCGGATCCACGCGGGGTTTATATATTTTATAACTGTTATTATTTTTTCAGTTTTCTTATCTACTGTGATGTTGGTCTGATAAGAAAGATTTTGTTAAATTTCCAATTCGAATAAATACTATTTAAAAATGATACAGAACTTTGATATTGATTGGCGTGTTAATTATTTTAAACTCCATTCTGGCTCATAAATATTTATCGTAAATGCAAATTTTCATATTGAAATCGATTGTGTGTCAACAATGACGGCCGGCACGAAGGTTAAAATAAAGCAATCTTAAAGGTGGTAAATCAACACAACGGAGTTTTAAACATCACTTGAAACACTGTATGTACAATCTGAATTACTGAGTTCCTTGTCTTGAATCTCTACCATCTGCTGTTAAAATTTATTATACGGAACTGTTTCAGCTTCCGTATCACTTTCCAGTAGAGTTGGAAGGTATTTTCCTATTAAAAACCGAGCACAATTGAAACGAATTATTAAGGCTTGTTCCAGAAAGAGAGAATACAATTTTAAAGGCTTCGATAGAGACGTCCTCGTAGCCGGCATCGCAATCCAATGTCATCGATATCAATTCTACTGCCGTTTCTCTTTTCCTTCTATTCTTCTTTTTGTCGTCATTTTAGGGGGCTTCGAAGCGCAGCTCTGCACGATTTCTTGCAATTTCATCGCACAATGCTGCTGATTCTCGGACAGGCTATTTATTTCGCGAGTTCGCCTCCTCTTCCACAACATTAGTCAGCAAACTGGATTACATTCGCTTCAAGCCACTCGGTCCGTGTCGTAAAAATCGAAGTGAATTCCTCGAAAACTACCGGAACGCTATACAATTCGATGTATTTGTCCTTGAATTTTAAATTTCAGAAATTGTTTCTCTTCGCTTTTTTTTAAACAGTCTTGAACATTCGAGCTGTTTGTACGGGGCAAAAGAATTCTTACAATTATGTGCATAAAATGATACGGAGATGGCGATAAATATTATTCGAACATGTATCGAATACATTTACAACGTTATTAGAACAGCTTTTTCTTCGCCAATGTCCGGATTTAAAGTTTAAGAAACGTAAATTAAGCCTCTCCCATTATTAACAAAGAAGAATACTACGAACGTTGTTAAAATTGTATTTGACCTGTTAAATAAAACCCAGTGACAACTGTAGTAAATGATTGCGATTTCAACAATGCACTTGTGCTTCCTTTTTCTTAACGATTACGAGACAATCTGTATTCTTGATCAGGAATACACTTTTACCGTTTGCAAAGCTTCGAAGCTTTAAATGGAGAGTTTGGTAACAAAAATACTTTCCCCATAACGTTGTGAGTGTAGTCAAAAGATTTAAAATAAATGTTATCGAACATTTTCTCCAAATAACGACTAGAATAATTTGCGCTACATAAAACGCGCAAGGAAGAGGATGGTTGCGCCATCTCGGAATGAGAGGGTGAACTATGAAATTAGAGAAATACGAATATCTCAGACAGCCTTTTTCTTCGCCAAGCACTGGATTTGAAGCAATAGGCACAAGAACATTGTTAAAATCGTAATTGTTTCTTCAATTGTAATCCGCGCCAAGAATCATCATTGGCTCAATCAAAAATGTGAATTTTGTTCGGCTAGTATTGTACTTTGACCGCCAATGTACAAGTGCTCAGTTCCTTTTTTTCTGTTATTAAAAAAATTCAGATCCGTATACACTCGTTAACCGATTGTTGATTACATAACAGATACATAATTATATACGCGTGTACTTATGTAACCGTTAAAATAGATATTGTAATAAATATAGAGAATACATATCAGTAGAAATATTATTAGTTGACTTTGTCATAGAAATATTATTGGTAGCCTTATCTGATAAAATTATCACAAAATAAACATTACTTTTTTAAAAAATTGTACGAAAGATATATATTATATATTTCTTCAATACAACTTCTCTTACATTGCATAAAAACTGGTTTTTAATATAAATTCAAAAGTACATACACACTATATATTAATAAGCATGTTCGAAATGACATGTAGCTGATTTACAAAGATATTCCAGCAGATACTTTATTGCAGTCAACATTGGTGTACCAAAAATTTACGATACATAACATATTCCTATTACAGGAAATTAGGAATGATATTAAAACTCATACCGTAACTGTAACAAATAAAGCTATAATTCTGTTTTATAATTTTTTGTATTGTAAAAGAATATATAGATTTAAACTTTTGCAATGCCAACAACACCACAAGCAAGGCGGGCACCAGCATTTCCTGTAGTTTTTGATAATTCATGACTACCTTTGCCAAGATCATCTGGGTCAGCATGAACCTGTTGTTATAAAGAAAAGACAATATGTTTATGAGATGAACTTGGCTGTATAATTAAATTATAGACATCAGCAAAAAGGAAAATCATTCATCTTACTACAAGAGTTCTGCCAATTATGCTGTTTGACCCTTGAAGCTGAATCATCTTGTCTGTAATGTTAACATCAGCTACACCATTAGCATTTGCTTCAACATTTCCCAAGTCTCCAACATGACGTACACCTGAGTCTGGTCCACCATGTTCTTTTCCTAATGGATTAAAATGAGCACCTGCACTTGTGCAACCTGTTGAATTTGTTTAAAAAGATAATGTTTAAAGTAGTGTATTTCATTCATTAGCATATATATCTAACAAATAATTTTAGAGATTTTAAGTTTTAACATCAAACATTTTAATGGAATATAATTTAATTAACTATGAGACTGAATAATTTTATATACAAAAGGAGGTCAAATAAAGTAAAAAGTTATTCATCTTTTAAATATTACTTTCTCACAGATTAATTAGTATCTGTGACTGTATCAGTATCTGTTGACCTCTAAATTTATATCTCCGAATGTCATCAACATTACCGATCTATTCAAGTCATTTGAATATTACATAGCAATTACCGACCATTTTAAGGCACTTTGATACAATTGTACAAACAAATATATATTCTAAAAGAAACGCATACCATTAGTGTTATCACCGAATTCATGGATATGAAAACCGTGTAAACCCTTTTGTAAACCGCTAACTTGGCCGGTGACCTTCACTGCACTTGAATTATCCTACGTAATAATTACATTATGACAAGACGCAAATAAAAACCAATGTCATGGTGAATTATACATCGAATGTTCATGAACAAAACTCTTACCGGTTGATCGAAATACAATGTGCCTTTGGCTTCACCCTGAAGAACGCACACAGCTTTAACCATTTTCAGAATTATAAGACTGAACAGAACAACGACCAAAACTAGAATGAACCTCGCCTGAAACAGTTACCGGTGACTTGTAGTACGTAACTATCGTTTTGCTGAATCACTAGCACAAACACGTTGACGTACCGTATAAGAAGCACTTGATCAGATAAAACAGTGACCTTACTGCTTACTTGAATCGAAGGAATGGCGCATCACACGAACCCACGGAATAACGGATCATTGATTTGCGAAAAACAAGGCTGTATGCAAAAATTACGAAAGGTTTCATGGAAACGAGAATTAAATAGTGCGCTCGAAGTGGCGTATATCAAAGGTTGCCAATGGTTAAAATTAGAGACACTATAATCAGAGACTGAACTTGAACCAACCAATTTTGATTGGTTCGCCAAACCATTGCTATGCCCGCTCATTTTTAAATTAATAAATTACACTAATCTTACTTAACGGAGACCCTCATGGAGCGGCAACCCTAATTGCAACAGATTTCAATCGCATTTACACCACTGACGGTTAGGAACCAGTAATTACAAGAACATAATTATTTGTAACGGTTGACACTCAATCTTGTCATGCGTACCTCGGTTAGTTCACTTTGGACAACTCGTCCAGCGTTATACTGACAGCATTTGTCTTGATCAAGCATTCAATTTGAAGCTGAAAGAACGTAGATTAACCCCCTGTTATTGACAATAACAATAAACGACCAGAACACTGTTAAAATCGCATTTAATTGTAGAATACCACTATTTTTTCGACCGGTGGTGTCGCCAGTGGCAATTTGCTCAAACTGCTAGCCAAATCATACCGACAGGTGAGTGAAAATTCCAAGTGATGGAAAATGCGAATATCTCAGTAATTAAGCGCTCAAAATGAACGCCGTTAGCCTCAATTTACTCCTGACGATCCCGTGCATCGAACCGATACCACAAAACCTCATAATCGAGAGAATGATTTCTGTCACCACTACAAATGTACATAGTACATATGTAAATTGAAAACGGCCCAATTAAAAATTTTTTATTCACAACATCAATTCAGAAGGATGTGAAGAGCAATCTGACATTATTAGAAATACATATATGATCGTAATTATCGTGGGTTATTCTATATTTTTGTTTTATACCATTCATCATGATGCATCATGATGTAAGAGAGAACTCTCATTCCAACTGATGACTCTCAAGTTGTCAAACTGAATATGAATAAAACTTGGTATTTTGCCCGTCGATTAGGATTATATTCGATTATATTGATTATATTATTCTATGCAATCACACGATGCAAATTGTATGTTTAATGTAATAAATAGAAAATTCAGTTTACTTTTCCTTTTTAAAGATGAATTGTCCACTAACTGTATCGAATCACAAAGTATACGTAAAAAGAGCGCACGAATAGAATCGCAAATACACAAGAAATGAAAAAAAAGTACTACGGTTATATCTACATCTATGTTGAATGAATATGGCGATTTTATAAAAATGGGTTAACTTATTACGAGTGACTGTGATCTTGGTTACCAAACATACGAAATGTTTCTCATAGTGTGTACAAATTGCAAACGTTGATTAGACCACTCGTAATGCGCAAGTCGCTTAATAAATATGCAAGTTGTGTTATCACCGTGTCCTTGCCGCGTAGGTGGGCGATTATCACAATAAGTAGGACAATTTTGACAGGGAAACTTGGTTAGTCGAACTATCACAGAGAGCATAAGCGTACACCTGTTTTTATGGACACTAGTAATAAGAGAGGCTTCGGAGAGAAAGGATGCATGAAATTAAGCCTTTGACGTACGTGAAAGTGACCAAAATATAAGCGAACAAAATGAGCTGGCTACGAAGTAGCCCGCTGAGGAATAGTTTCAGCAAGCAACGATCGAGAGATTCACCACCGAAAGACGCTGATCCTTCGGCGTGCTATGACAGCTTTTGTAAACACTGGCAGCAAGCTTATGAAATTATCTTGCACACATTTGTGAGTTCAATTTTTCAAATTAATCGAAGGTTTCTCTGAATGATGTTCTACACTGTGTTTCGTATTACCTTGTCCTTTCCACAGGAAATGAAAATGATACGAATACACACAAAGATTATAAGGGTGTCCAGATGTATGTTGAAGTATTTTAACAAGCGGTAGGTGAGATCGAATGGACCGAAAGTGTGCGACGATATTATTTCCGATCTGTCTTCGCTTTACAGTGATAACGCTTCCCAAGTTTTAAGATATTTCGATCTATTTACACTATATACAGTAATAGACACAGGATTCTGTTTATTGAATAGTTTAAATAGTTCCGGAATAAAAAGTTTACAGAAAAAAGCTTAGTTCATGCACACAAATACATCATAATCAGAGGGATTAAATCAGAATCAAATATTTCAAATGACTTGGTAACTGATTTTAATTCTTCAGGATGAATATTATTTTCTTTTTATATCTTGACAACTATAACAGGTATAAAAAAATTGTTAGAATGGCAATTTAATGAATTTTTATGTTGTATAAAACTCATGAAATTATTAAAAATTTTGTTGTTTAACTAATTTCATTGCACAGTTTCAGAGAATATAAAAGTCCATTAAATGTTTATTGTAATAATTTCTTTATATCTACTATAGTTCTCAAGATATATAAGAAAATGGGTTTTGCAGGGTAAGCTACTTGTCATTAGCCAATTTTTTATGACTGTGTGGCAAAAACAATTCTTACGTAATAGTAACTGTACACAGTCTGTGCAAATCGTAGGATAGTCCAAGTCAAATACCATTTTCTTAAACTGTTAAAGCATCTAAACTAACAATAACCAATTTAAATATGTTTATCTTATTGATGTGTGCAAACTGCTCTTCATCCTAAAGTTATACCACTGATTTTAAGATGTTATAAAATAGAATCAGATCAGAAATGACATCATAGGATACTTTTTATTCCATTTAATGTCGCCTACCACCATTATAAATGTTCCAACACATATCATATGCACTCTGTATATATTTTAATGTTTCAAAGTATTTTTATTCATGTTGAAAATTTAAAAAGATATATCTTGTATGTGCCTCTCATTTTTCTTATATGTACTTCGAATTGTATTAAATAGCAAGGAGGTTGATGCTTTAGCAAAAACTTATAAAAGCCTTTAGAACTATGTATAACGTGAACTAAATGTCTTTTTAAATGTTATATAGCCACTCAAGGGAATACCTAACCAGGATGATGTTCTCGCAGTTGTCAATCACATAGATCATATGGTAACACTTTTAATATTAGAATTGCGGGATGCTCGCTCTTACAATAAATATCGGCAATCTTCAACAGCGACGCATTCTCCTTGCTTGGAATATTTGTTAAGTGAAAACCTTCTTGTTAAACTGTACGACTGGAGCATACACACTGGAAGGTAAAATTTTTTTAAATAATGTGCACGCAAATTTATATTTTTTAGTCTACCAAAATGTTGTATAGTATTTTATTGTTTAGTTCAATTTATTCTTGCATATTTGTAACTTAATAGTACCATTAAAGAGCCTATTAACGGTTTTTTACTACACGTATTCCGATAGAAGAAAACTTGTTAAGACTGGTATCCACTTGTTGCGTATCTTCATATCGTATCGCCGTTGCGTATGTTGCGCCGTGACATCAAAAGAATAACACGGTATTTGGCTGAGCCAGTGTAGATATGAATACGTAGTGATAATACGGGAAAAGTCACACAGCGTTTCACACCATATCGTATCACTGGATTATATGCATGAGGACACAATACGAGAGTACGTCACAAGTAGATACCACCCTTTTGAATAGGGGCCTGATAGGTAAAGCGTTAATATGTGTGTCATAACGATGATTATACTTTATCTGAAGGTGTATATTATCATTACAGATTTAACAATGCTGTACGTTTAGAACAATTAAAACTTTATGAACTTTTGGTATCACATAGTAGTATTCTTCTTGCCCATGAACCAGTTGCTAGACCATTGTTACGATTACTCGAGGACTGTGCAAATGATATTATGCCATTAGAAGTGGTAAAGAAACTGGTAGTGTTATTAAATCAATTATGCGTCACTTTAATGCAGAACATGGCATTACTTGATCTATTTTTTCAACCAACAGCAATAGGGAAGAACAAGTTGGTAGAACATGTGTATATTTAAAAAAAAAAAAGTAAATGTGTGTTTAGATACACTGAACTTTTTAGTTATTTTTAATACCAACATGCTTTTTCAGGTTTATTATTTTTACATTATTAATACCGCACGTACATAGAGAAGGTGGTGTAGGACAGCAAGCGCGTGATGCTATGTTACTCTGTATGTCTCTTTCCAAGCGAAATGATGAAGTCGGAGTATATATTGCCGATCATTCTAATATATGTCCCGTATGTACTATTTATATATTAAGTCAATTTAAAAATGAATATAACTGAAGCTTTGCGAATTTGGTACAACGCAGAATAAATTATGGAAGTTATTATTCGTGTAGAATTTAATACAAATTGTATTTAATCAGGTATTAGCAACAGGTTTGAGTGGACTGTATTCACTACTGCCTAGGAAATTAGATATCGAAACAGATGATTGGCATCGATTGACACCAGATGATGTTAATGATTTACCAGCATTAATGCATTTAATGAATTCTTTGGAATTCTGTAATGCTGTTGCACAAGTTGCACATCCTTTGGTACAAAAACAATTATTAGAGTTTTTATACCATGGGTTTTTGGTACCTGTAATGGGACCGGCTTTGTTACAGGTGAGTGTACACATATTTTGTATTATTCGTTTTAATTAAGAACGAATATATGACCTTACCATAGATTTACAAATGGATTTATGCAATTAAATACATATGTTTCTTGTTATGTAACATTTATAAATGATGTCTATTATAGTTTATATTTACATTTAGTTTTTATTTTGTATTTGCATGTGGTGAAAGAAGGTATTTCCATATTTGTTAAAACACGTAATAACGGTATTAAAATTTTTAATATTCAATTGAAAGTAATTATTTGTGAATTACAATACGTTAGAAATCTTTTAAATATATTAAATCATTTTAACAAATATTTTCTGTAGAAATGACGTTTACAGAAATTCTTTACATTCCTGTAAAATGAAATAAAAAGAGTTGTTTAACAAATTATGGACCTTTCAAACAATTTATACTTAGTAGATCTTTATAGGCACATATTTGTCTATATTCTTATTTGAGATACGTGTTGCCAAGCGCATATAACATTGTCAGTGTGGTGATGGTAAATCTAAATCTTCATGCCTAATGCTAATGACATTCAAATCGTTTATGTTGTAATATGGTTGTGGTGGCTATCCAATGACACTTTTGTGCTGCTCAGGATTCTCTTGGTTTGACCATAGAACAGCTAGATGCACAAGAACATTGGGTTAGTACAAAACAGTTTAATTAGTGTGACAATATACATTGATGATTGAAATTTCAGTAAAGCATAAATCGAAAATCACTTATGTATAAAAATATATTATTATATAATATTGTATTTATAAGAATGTAAGTGTATTAAGTTTAATTAACTAACTTCTTCTGATCTAAAGTAATAGCTATTTGTAAAAAATGATATTAAAGACAAATATTGAGAATTAATTTATGAAGATTTAAGCTTTCACTGAAATACCCTACTTATACTCATTACACATTTTAGATACAAATAATGTAGAGATTAATTTATAAACCGCACATACACAAGTAATGTTTTTAAAAACTATATTTGAGATTGAAATGATTGTTTATATAATCTACTTTTCGTTAAAAAATTACACATTTTCATTTGCCATGTATTATTAATTTTCTTAAAATATGTGGTTTATAAGTTAAAGTTCATTTTTTACACATTCATTCACAAATACCAAAAATTGCAATCTTCATCATCTTTCTTGCTTTTCATATTTTACATGTTGTACAATAAATTATGTGTTGTTTTATAAATTACAAATACTTATATTTCCTATTTCCATCATGCTTAATCATAGACGTATGTAATATAATTGAAATATGGTACTAGGTAAACACTATTTTCTCTAATATACTATATTAATATTACTAATCATCAATTTACAATTACTCTAAGCTTTAAGGTATTGAAATATTTGCCTATTAAGAAAATATATTGCTTTTATGTTATAATTATTTATAAAATTAATTGCATACTTGTATATGTATGATAAAAAAAAACTTCAGATCACATATTACTTTACAAATGAATTCATTTTAACTAAATAAAGCGTGCGTTTGTTTTTAGCTAAATCGATTAACATCTTACATGTTTTTCTGTGAAAACTAATATCCTTCTTTTACCACAAAGTGAAACCTTTATATTACATTTTATTAACACCTATATGTATATATCCCAAATCATAATTCCAGTATTTGCTGTGTTAAACCTGTTTAATGTTTAGTATTTATTTAATAAAAATGACTATGTAATGCGAATTCATACGAAGTTATGGACAACTAACTTTTTAATATTACAGACAACTGTGGATGAATTAGTTGCAGCAACAGCATACTTCGATCTGTTTTTACGATCCGTAACTGAACCTGGTCTTTTACGTTCACTTGTGCGATTTTTACTTGAAGATAATTACGACGAGTGCAGAATATTGGACAGTCTTATTCAAAGGATATCTTCCAGATCAAGGGTACATATGTAATATTAGAAAACTGTTTTCAACAGTGAAACATCTTTAAACACGACATAGTGTGACGATACATCAACTCATTTTCTGGTAATATTTTTCTGTTTCAGTTATGCATAGTAACCCTGGCGCTGTTTGAAACTTTGGTCAACTTGAATTGCGAAGATGTTATGTTAGAATTATGCTTAGCTGCACTGAGTCCTTGTTCCCACGTGATGCTTTCTCAGCGTAGAAGATTAAGAGATATAGATCCCTTTGGACGTGCCGCCGAAAAATTTTTATCTTTGACGCCAAGCTGTTGTTCGCCGCTTGCATCCGGAAATTCTCAATTCAATTCTTTACCCAATAACACGACACAAGAAAAGAATTCGAATGTTACATCCGAGTCTTTCAAGTCGTTGTCTACGTCCATAAATTACGGCACACGAATCACAGATAGTTTGTACGGGAATTATCATGCGTATTTATGCGATGCGCGACAGAAAATCAGAGCTTGCCGAATCGCGTGTTCGAACTGGTTATATCAATACAACGGAGAGTTACCAAAAGACAGCACGACCAGCAGTGCGACAACTCTGATAGACGACAACGCGTTAGTAGATAAGTCCCAAAAGAAAATTGAAACAACTAAACGGCTGTCGTTAGAAACGTTGAAACAGCCAGCAGTGAACAATGAGATTAACGAAAATTCGTCGATAGACAACATTTTATTTAACATTCAGTCTTTGTTAGATGGAAAGGAGTCGAACAACATGGAAAAAGTTGAGAAAATGGAATCGGAAATCACAGGCTTGGAGTTATCATTAGAGGAACAAGCGAAATTGGACGCAGATATCGCTGAATTGTTAAGCGAAGACATAGGACTATCAGAATCTACCAAGGAAATTTTATTAACAGACAAAAAGGAACCTGATAGCGGCACTGATGATTCTAATACAGCAATGAACTCACTTTTGTCGTTAGGTGAAAGTAGTGGATACGAAAGTTTTGCATTTAAGGGTTCATCGGAGTCAACTCCGGACAATGAGTCCAGCGAAGATCGAATGAGTGAACAGGATAAAGTAGAAACAGAATTGACTAAAGAGCATGGTATACTACTCCACAGTATCATGGAACCGAGTTCGATCACACCGGAAGAATTAACAGCAACTAAACACAGTAAAGATGTATATCGTCAAGATGTATTTAATGGACAGCCTAATGTCGGTATATTTTTGGATGTTCTGCTAAGGAAGCTCGAGTGCATGACAAGTAATAATTTATATGTCAACTTACATTTAACTGGTCTTATTAGTAGATTGGCGATATACCCTCAGCCATTGTTACAATCGTTTCTTTTAAATCATTCCTTGGTTTTTCAACCCAGTATTCGATCGCTTTTTCAGGTTTGTAGTTACATAATTATATTGTGCAGAAACACAACCCATGAATCATTATAATTTCGGAAATGTGATTATGCGTTTTAGGTACTTGCATCATTGAAACATAAAATAGATCAGTTTCTTTCTGAGCATAATAACGTGGATGTATTAGTAGAACAAGCGCGACTGTTTCTGATTAGTCGTGAGGATAAATTAGTGAATGCTAGAAAAAATGCATTGGAGGCTGCCGCCCAGACTGCACCTGTTAAGAGAAATTCTTTAACCGGTGAACCATTCTCAAGAGGTATTATTTGTTTTTCAATTACTTTTAAAGTATAGGCTGAATTTTTTTGTTTTACGAAGTGTGACAATAAATTTTGGAGAATAACTCCTTTACAAATTGTATTCTGAAAATCAAACAGATGTGAGGTTATCGCATTCAAAGTAGTTTCATGAGGCTGTATACACGCATTTCAGTATTGAAAAATTGAACGTATATGTTTAATTCTCAAAATAAAATTTTTAAATGAATTATTTTTGAAACATTATTGTTACATTGCATATACTGATAGTTCAGTGATATATGTGTACATTTATATAAGTTAATATTAAATTGCTTTTAACATGTGCTTTTCACTCTGGAAGTATTCAAACGATGTAGGTATAATATCAAAACATTTATAGCGAATGGTAACTCATACATATTAGATATAAAACCTATACTTGAAGAATTATATTTCCAGGTGAAAGCAAGAGATGGAGTTTTACATCGTCTTTTACACAAATGCTTAGAAGATCAAGCGTTAACTCTGGTACAAGTAGTTTAGTCAATACGAATAATCAACCGACCGGTGTATCAGAGGATCAGTTAGAAGCTATTGCACATGGTTCCAGATACCGGTAAATATTTTTGTCCCTGATCACAGGTATTCAATGAAAATTATTGATTACATTGTCAAGCTGTAATTTGACATTGCAAAAATTTGGATAATTTTTACCCCAACAATTTGATTAATCCGTATTCTCCATAAAATGAAAGTTACATAAAAGTACATGAACTCCAGTGTAATAAGTTTCTCATGGAAAATATACCAATTCTGATAAACTGTATTAATATAATTTTTAATTTCGTTAGGTATTATACGAAAACGTCCTGGGAGTCTCCAAACGAAGTAAGTCCAGTACAAAATGTGGTCTTATGTGCAGTTATATTAGACGAATGGCTAAAAGAATTAGCCGCGATTACACAGGAACATGCCATTATGTCCTTCACAGATAGCTTGGAGTCAAAAGTATAATATGTAAGATGATCACGTTTATAAATTAAAATTCAGTCGACAATAGTAATAGTATATTCAAAACAGTTTTCCCTTTTACAGGGTTTTAATAAGTAAATATGTGATATATTGCTAGATTTATAAACTATAAGTTCATACTATAGATTTAGAACGATTTTACCTGGAGTTATTGTCCAATCGAGGTGTAAAAATAGTATACATACTGTTGCTGTAGATACGAAGACAAAAATAATTACGCTATTTTATTTTACAAACGTAGGTATGACAGATTAAATAATTGTTCTCTGAAATTGTAAATACCATTGTATTTCTGTCAATGTTGCCGACCATACGTAGAACTAAATTACGTTGACTCTGTGTTAATGGAAGTGCATAATACAACAAATTTTTTGTGATGTGTACTCTTTAAAGTGCTAACCGAAAAATGTCGGCCGAATCTTATTGCGAAGACTGACATTTAGAGCAATTTCCTATTTAATATACAGATATTGTTACGCGGTTTATTGATTTTTTATTAAATATGTCACAAATGAAATATTTTATTTACAGTTGTATTTTATTATACGTAACAATTGAAAATCATAAATAGTTGAAGGAACATAAATTAAAAAAGTGCCAAGTTAATACATTAATACTCTAAATATATTTAGCGTTTTGGAAATTGTTCCAAATGTTTTTCAGAACTAACGATCAAATAATTTTTATGACAACATAGTTCTATAAAAACAACGGGTAATATACATGGGCGTACAAAATTTTCATATTTTACACTTAAAAACGGTGCATAATACAAAAGCAATTACAAAGCTTGTTTTTATTATTTGTACTTAATTTATTACATGATAAAATTTGTGCAATTATTGATTAATATATGTATACAATTATGTTTTAAAGATTTAATAGCATAATATACCGTGCAGATATAAAGTTATACCTAAAATTATGAATTTGTAAATCTATCTGGTTGAAACTCAATGCATAAGCCTAAGTTGAAGAATCTTATTAACATAAAGTATATTTAATGATACTGATATTTTCTCAGTCAATTGTATTAATTACGCAATAATTTTTCATCGCGTATCATAAATAATATGAAGCATAATTAATTCTTACGGCATAAAAAGGAAGCATAACCACTACTGCATTGTAATAAACAAACTGAAAGTCAATACTTGCCAATATTGTTGCACAAATATGTAAAGCTTGCCTATATATGAAAAACATATCAAAGCTTAATTGTTAATGCATGAAATAATCCAGCTCAATTTTTTTTAATAAACACGGCATCAATATTAATGCGAGTGGAATTATTAATGCATTCTGATAATTAAATGGCAAATAATGGCAGTGAAATGTGTAAAGTGTACATCAAAAAATATTATGACTGTATATTATGTTTAGAACTTTGTAGAACAACATATTTTTTGATCACTTTAAACTTTATATTTAGTATAAAATACTTGCCGTAATGTGATATTAAACTAGGCCCTCGGTAAATTCTCCATATTCAAATATTTTAAATGTTTTTGTTCGAAAAATATAGAATTCATATTTTTTGATAATATTAAAAGTAATTATGTGTGATTGAATGCTATTATCAATTTTATTTAATTTAATAATCGCTTAAAATGTTTGATTATAATGCATGTTTAGATGATATTGTTTGTTTAAATTATATTAACAACGTTTTACAGTAATACTTCCTTCACATTTGTAAGAATTTTAATAATATTACCTTTTTTATGATTGTTGTGAGAATTATTTGTCACATAATTTGTTTTTTCTTCCATATAAACTTCTATCATTTCATGCTTTTCATCAAAGACATGCAGTATTTTCAAACAAATCTACATGCTTGGCGTTTTACTGAAAATAATATAATTTAACATTTATTTTTAATTTAACAATCGCTTTATTGTTATGTTTCAAATTATTGATAAAACAAAAGAAGAGTCTATTATGATTACTTCATATGAAAATTCAGAATTACACGTATATAACTTCTAACGATATAATTTAAAATATTTAAATGAAAATTTCGTCTTTTAAATCAATTTAATACACAAATCATTCTGTAATATAAACATATACAGTGTATTACAAATAATAATAGAACAAATTAATAAATGTTTGAAATTATTTCATAAGAAAATATATTTTGATGGAAGTTATATACATGCATTTCTATTTAATTTGGAAGTATACTAAATTTTATTGTAAAACAATTTACTATGATCAATTTGTTAAAAAATAATTATATAATTTACAAGTTTGTAATAATTACGAAGTAGATATTTGTCCTTCAAATATTGAGTTCTTCTTAATAAGGTAATTATTATAAGATATGGGTTACACTAAAATTAATGTACATACAAATTTTGAGAAACTATAATGTTATTCATTTGAATTGTACATTGTAAATATAATATAAAATAGAGCATATATTATTGTGTTATATTTAAGATGTTTTAATAAAAATCAATATACAAAAATTTAACCATAATAACTTATAAGTAAATTTGTACATTTTACTACTCCCAACAAATTTTACCTTATTTATTTAAAGGATCCTAGTACCCTATTAATATATTTTGTGTATTAAACGAATTTGCACAATTATCAATATTCTCATATGAATTTAAGATTAATATATCGATATTGTATCGATGTAATATTTACATTTTGTAAAATATAGGTAAAAAGATTCTTTGAAACAGATGACTTATTATTATTTATTACTAAATAGTTTTCCCGCAAATAATTAAACTCGATTTCATTTTATATTACATATGAATAATCGTTTCGAAATTTTTGCATTCGTTAATTTAACGTCATGGTGAAATGGATACAAAAAATTTTAAATGAACATTATCAATTTGCAGTTTTACGCAAAAAATTGGTTTCAACTATAAGTAAATATTCGCGATTTTCGTACAATTACGAAAAATTATAGATCCGTTCGATTGGAAAGATCCAATCGTTGCAATGCTTTGACCGCTTTGACTAGTATTCTGGGCATGCAGTTCGTAAAAGTCGCGGAACCAGAAAAAACAGGCTAGTCGTACTCAAGAATCACTAGATCGTCTGTTCTTGACATCTTTAATTTTTTTTTATAAATATTTCGATTTTATATCGGTCTACTTATTTCACATGGTGTACGCGATAAAATTAACTGTTTATATGTACGTGTATGTATAACAAATGTACATAATGTCTTCTAACTTCAATAATGTACAGTGCCGAGTAGAATTTGACATAAGCATTGCAAGTGCGATTAATCATCATGATCTGATAGTCTAAGCACTTAACGTCGTTAGTCAGTTTTCTATATTTACATTGTTAACAGTCCTGTACATCGAATATTATCTTGATAATTAATGCCACGCCTAAATTAACACAAAGCGTACTGCATTAAACAGACATTGAAACATTTAATATTAACTATGTTATTTCTACTCGAATATATTTAATATAGATATTATAACAATTATTTAAGTGCATACAGAATATTCGATTTTAAAGCTATTCATTAATTGCAACATTCTATATATAGTAAGATCAGTTCAATGTTACTAAATACACTTTGCTATATTCCATGTTGTTTTGTTATAGCTAGTCCTAATTTATTTTAAAGTGCTACAGGTACAATAAAACATCAGCTGTGAAATCAGAAAATATAAAAAGTATTTTCATACACTTACTTCTTTTCAATCACTTCATATATTATTAGACAACATTATCAAACTGCCTCTGACCTGATGGTTTTAATGTAGTAATTCTTCCAATAATGTACTTTTTTATTATTTTCAATGTCATCAGTATAAGAGAATTATATGTGCAAATGCTTTTTGTACCCATTGCATACCTTCATATTATTAGTACTAACATATTGCTCAACTTAAGGGATATAATTGAATAATCCCAGGTTTAATTTTAAATCAAACTTGAGATTATTCAATCAAACACCTTAAAAGCTATTTAATATTAACTAAATTGCTAAACTGTTGTATACTTTTCATTGTTAATAGGTTTACATGTATCATCCTCTGATATAAGAAGTATTCATGCCTTTTTGTTTGAAAAATCATACAATCAACAATATGGAGGAATATGCTGTATTATCGGACGTAACAGTCGTAGATGTTTACGATATTGCTGCGGAAATAGGGGCAGAATGCGAAAAACTAATAGATTCTTTTGGAGTACAATCCGTGACCAAGCTTATGCCAAAAGTGATACAAGCATTGGAAGTGTTAGAAAATCTGGCGACTAAAAATGAACGTGAGAATACAATAGTCCAAGAGCTACACGCAAAGATTTCACAGCTGGAAAATGATAAGATAGAAAAAGCTGAGGATAGACAGAGGTTTGAAAAGGTATTCTCCAAAAACAAGTTTTTTTTCAACTCTCTTGTCTGTTTAAAACCATTCAATGATTTTATAGGAACTAGAACAAATTGAGGAACATTGGAGGCAAGAATCCCGTGATCTAATAGGAATAGTTACAAGATTACAGGAAGAAAATAGGCGATTAGCAGAGGCACTTCAAGAGTCACGTAACGATAGTCAGTACAGCAGTAAACAAAGTACTAACAACCAACCTTCTATTTACTAACACTATGTTAAAAATATATTACGTAGGGTGAGGAATTTAAAATTCGTGTTACAAATAATGGAAGAAGGATTGTCTTGAAATATAGAAGAATCTTTGTTTCAAAGAACTTCATTCCATTTGTCCTCTAGTGTTTTGAAACAGACTGAACTAATTTTTTTTTAAAAACAACAATATTAACGTAAATTAAACTGACAATTTCAAATATCTCGCCTTGTATATATTTGTTTATGCATGTGTATATATATACATATGTAGTATTAATTATGAAAATATATTTTCAGCTTTTACCGCTAGTCAAGAAGTTGATGTGGCAGTCTTACAACATTTAAGATCAATGATAGACAAGCAAAGAGATCATATTCGAGCTAGGGATAAAGAGATGTTGCAGAAGAATTTGGAAATAGAAAATGTAAATTGGTACTTATGTTCGTATTGTAATTTGATATAAATAGTGGTAGAATATAATTAGTAGAATATGCTATTCTTAAATGTAGAACAAGTAGTTTTTCTTTAGTATTTGCTTATCCAATTAATTAACGTACACTTTATTCTAACGCGTTTTGGTTGTTTTTGCAGCTAACGGCGCAGGTCGAGAAGCTCGGAGTCGTTGGTTGGGAATTAAAACGTAAACAGCGTCAAGCGCAAATGCAAGCTCGCGGTTTGGTGGAAGAAAGAGCAGATTTCTTGGCTCAGTTACAAGACCAAAACCGTGAACTGATAAACCTACGAGCCCGTCTTGGATTAGCAAAGAAGGAAAACGAAGATTTAAGTAAATCGCAGGGGTGTCCAGACCTGACGAATAAGGCTGTGTACGATCTGGATGATCCCGATAGACCAAGGTTTACGACCGCTGAATTAAAAGAAATTTTACACGAACGAAACGAACTGAAAGCCAGGGTTTCAGACTTGGAAGATGAACTAGAACTATATCGACCGAAACCTGAAACGTACGTCATTTTTATATACAGTTTCATATAAAAATTATATTCATTAACCATATTTTCTGCCGCAGAATTGAAGAAGATAAAGACGCTCCAGTCCAAGGACCACTTCCTTACGAACCAGATGATGCACCCTGGAAGAAAACATCTGAATCTGGAATTCGTAAATTGTAAGTATTTACAAACACCATAATTTCAATTGCAAGGAACACTTTGTAATAAAATTTAATTTCCAGTTTCCGGAAAATATTCTCAGAGCCTAGCAGTAGCTTTTTAGTTGGTAGCAGTCCACGCAGAAGTCTTTCTAGTCTGTCAAAGATGGCCCTCTCTGGAACTAGTACGCGTGATGAGTCTGTATAATGTTTTCTTTACAAGCGACTCAGTGACTTTAAACATTTTATACAAATTGATTGAACATACGGTTCTTGGATTGACATACAGTATTTTATTTCTCGACAGATCACGTATTTGAAGGGTTTCTTTTAAACGTTCGTAGCACTTTTTAAAAGTAGATAGCATTAGCTATCGTAATTAAATGATTGACTGATACGAATGGAGGCATTTATATGGAAGCTAAGCATTCAAATACATGACATGCATGCGTCGACAGTGATCAGAAACGAATATTATCTTTATATACATACATACCTTACGTTAAAGAATGAATTGGCATGCCAACAAAGCTATAAACGTTGATACTAACGCAAAAGTTAGGATCTCTTATATCTCGGTCGCTATATACCAAATATAAGCCATAAAATACAGAATAAAATTAGATGAGGCATTTGCAGCATTTTTAGTTTTGGAACTCAGTGATATTTTTGTTAGATAATATATAACACGAAATAGGTGATTGTAGATAAAATCGAAGAAATTGAAGTTTAACTCGTTAATATTTGAAATTGTGCAATTTCTTCTTTGCATTTATCATATACTAATTAGAAGAATATTGAAGTTGTAAAATGTATTAACGACAGTATATGGAATACAGGAATACATTTAGTACTACGAATTAATTAGTGTTATGGTAGAGTACGTAAGCAACGATGATTATGCAAATATAAAACTCTAACTATTAATTTACAAAAATTTAAATCGAGAAAGAATTTATTTATCCTATTAAAGGTTCTAGTATGTTCCAATTTTAGATGATCTGGCTTATTTAGTCAAATCAGTAAATTATGGCTGAACATAATTTGAAGTATTGAAAGAATTGCATTTCAATTCAGATACATTTACTTTAAATGTATTTTATATTAAAATTAGTATTCAAATGCGTTGATTTTTTCTATAATTTATAATGAGAAAACGAACGTAGTCATCGTATTCGTATGCAGTTTGTAAATAATTGAAAATCTCGAATTTAAATACAATAACATGCATTTAAAAAAAATACCAATATATACCAATACAACAAATTATAATAGTAGAATTATTAATGTGAGAAATATCTAATCGCTTTGAACAATATGCACGCATGACATATAAAACACACTATTATAGTAATTTGTTTAATTACTTCATAAATTCAAATCAGGAAAGGAATCAAAGTAGTTTTTCCATCAGCATTAGTTTTTTACCTAACTGAAAAATAACACAGATTTATGAACATTACTTAGACATATTATACGTGTAACTAAAGGATCAATGTATTAATGTACAATGATGCAATTATTAATTTAACATTGAAACTCATATGATATAGAGTTTATAAAATTTTGTAAAAGCTTTACACTTTTTGAATGTCGTATCATTCAACACACGGGAAAAGAAAAATTATTTTTCAAATAGTGAACACAAGTATAGTTGATTAACAGATTCAAATTTTATAGGGTATGTAAGGTAATATTAAAATGTTAATATTCTAAAAGATCATATTGTAACTTAAGTTACATGTACACTGAAAACATATCTGTAACTTAAGTTATATTTAAAAAATGAATAATACATGTTTATTTTACAATGAAGTTATTTTTTCCAACTATAATCTGTTGAAATCATCATAATTCTGATCCTATTAAAATGTGCCTATTAAATAAACATGTTCGTCTTCGATATACTGCGTTAAAGGATTCCCGAACGAAAATTCATACCAAAATATTTATCAAATATACCTGAAGAATACAATCCGTTGTGTTTTTCATGAAAATTAAACATGTTTGAAGTACTGAAAAAACCATTAGGTTAGAATTTTGCGGAGCAAATAATTTCATAGTTGTACTAATCATTAGAAACAAAAAGAGAATCAAACCAAATAAAAATTCAGTATCTCATTCATAATAAAGAAGTATTGACAAATTAGAGTATTATATTAGTCATACTATTGACCATCATTTATAGTGTAACAAAATAGTTAAATAATAATTGCTGATAATACATACATATACTTAATTGTGTAGGTATATAGACATTTATATATGTATTATACTACATAGTAATTAAATAAAAAACAATTTCATTTACACACAACTAATATGTATAACATGTAACACCAAACACAAATGGTATATCTGCAATTTAAAGTATAGAAATAATGATCGTTAATGTTTGTATTTTCTATACAAATAAGATAATAGTCAAAATAAAAAGAACCGTTTAAATCATTGTAGAAATACATATATACAATGTAATAATTGTGACGATACAATGATCAACAGAGTAAAAACAGCATGTAAGTAGAAATCACTAATTATTGCGTTATTCATTTTGCTTTACTATTATTAAGTATTATTGATTACGGTAATATTACGTAAAGTATAGGTTTAAAATGAAAATAATGTAGAAACAAATTATGTGAAAGTGCCAAAGAAAATGATAGGTACAATTAATAAAATATTGTACATATCCGTGGAAGTAATTAAATGTTTTATTTGTAATCTGACAATTTATTTATATTATCGATTCTCTTAGGGATTTTGTTAGAGTAGTTGTAATACTTTTGGATATATCATCACTGTTATTAATACAAAAATTTTGATGCCTTAATACATATGGAACTGAAATATACTTTATTGTAATCAGTTCTTTAAAAATAAATGATCATGTTCTTCGAGTTGCTGTCCTTTCAATAATCACATCTATAAAACATCTTCTATACATATTTTAAAACTGAAATATAATATTAGCCTCCTCATGTACAGGTAATTCTAATTAAAAAAAGGTGCGAGATATGCCGTGCATATTTAAAATGGTGTAACAAGAACACAGTAAATGAGGTAGTACCTATTCTGTAATGTATTTCGATTCTTGATATTCAATCAGCTTTATACTTCATTTATTCTCAACCAGTATTCTCGTACACCATCCTTAAGCCTATTACATACAGTTTGTAAGGTGTGTAAAAAATAAAAACGGTAAAAGGGGGGTACACACGAATAACAACATAATGATCAGCACCATTCTGACAGAACCACGTTCCTTCACATTGTAAAATTAGATATACAAAATACTTTGTGCTCACATACAAGACAAGAAATGAGAAAACAAATTCAAAGTATTTTCGTCTTGTCAAAACTTACAAAATAAATTAAGACTCAGAAGATTCACACAGTTGACTAGGATGCTATAAATCTACATTGTTCAAGTTGGCTGCAGATCCCGTCGGCAAATCTGGCGGTACAAACTTACCAATGGGTTGTACAGCCTGTCTTTGCTCAGCTAATTTGCGCATTTCTTGCCTAAGTTTACTCAAAATAGCGTGATTCGGTTGATTCACGGCGGCTTTACCTTGTAACAATGTAATTTCTTGTTCCAGTTGTTTCTTTTCTTTAAAAGACTTTACACTACGAGATCCATACAGCCTTAGTAAAGAACCCCAAGACTGGATATGAGGATGCATAAGCTGTAGAATAGCTTGCGCTGCACGTTGCTTACCGTCTTTCTTGTTACGACATACCTGAAATAATAACTTTTCAAAATTTGTATCGTAATATTTTTTATTAGATCACCTAGATCTAAATTACAATGTGTATTGAAATCCTAGTAAGAATGAAGATGCAAGATTTACTTTCATTCAACACCCTTTCTTTCACTGTCTTACATATTGCTGGAATTTGAATTGTTTTTCACGAACGACATTGTCTAGCAAAGAACATCAACATTCAAACATATCAGATACGTATTTTTTTTATCCACTAATCATGTTTAGGAGGTCAAATAGATTGTAAAATTTTCTGAGTCAACCAACTTAGTAACAGATGGCCAATTGAAACGAGATTTGGTAGTACTTCAAAATCGATATATGGACATTTCAATGTACTATTGTAATTATATAACGTGTAAATTAATTTTCAGTCGACTCACAACTGCAGTCTACTATTTTTTTAAGATAGCCTTATGGAAAAAGTGTTACGGAAATCCGCACTTTATTTCCGGTCAATCTAATTGCTTGAATATAAAGTGTGGTAACTACCTATTACTTATAGTCTCTGATATAGAGAGAATCACAAATTGGCGATATTGGTTGTACTTATTTCTAATTAATACATTACTTACAACGGTGGCCTCGTGTTTTCCAACACGCATTGTGAATTCGTTGCGCTGATGTTTTAAAGTGTTTACAGAATAATTAATGTGCATGTCCCCCAGTCCATAATTTCGTTGAAGACATGTAATTAAAATGGCATGCGGCGATGGCTCAGTTGTCTTGGCACAAAACTCTGCAACTCGCGGATCGGTTATCGAGATTTCATCGAAGAACGACAGGTCCGCGTCAGAATTTGTTCTGGACGCCTTGATCATCCGACTATTGTTACCGAAAGCTGTATCACCACCGTTATCGCCCGAAATCTTATCCCTCATTTGGGGGATTAAGATTTCAAGGGTTTTACGAGCAGCATTAGCCTTCGCTTGCTTTTTACTGCTACCGAAACCACTTCCGTACTCCATATCATTGATGCAAACAACGGCAGAGTACGGTGTCGCGGCGTTTTCTGAAAATCAATTCTTTGGTTTTGTAAATGTTCACCCGACGACGATACAGAATTTTACTACTGCTAAGGCTTCTCGGTGTAAGCTCCGTCCCTTTAGGAAAGACATAGAAACACTAATCTGTAGGCTTACCCGCGAATGAAAAGAACACGACTTACGTTTGAACGCCTTATCAGTAATAAACTGTACGATGCTGAATTGTAAAAGCCTCGAACCTCTGTTACAAATGTGAATTCAATTCTTTATACGAGACTTATTCTTTTCTTGAACATACCTAATTCTTTAAATTTATAAGTCGGCTGTTTTTTGAGAGCGTGTTGCACATATTCATGAAGTATGCAAACATAACTTTTCCCCGAAGGGTTCATTATCCAATGTTTCGGCGGCCTTTGTCCGCCACTGTCGTCTCCTGTAGCACCGCTATTGCTTCCTGTCAAACCGGAGCTACTAACTGGAAACGTTATCAGTTTCGTTCCGTCAGGTAAAGTTGGTCGTTCCAGTTGCTTACGATGTTTTTTATTTTTTGTGAACTTTCTTCTTGCCGACCATGACCTAAACGTTCAACAATAATGGTAGCCAGTCTGATATGATTACAAGAGAATTACAGGAAGTGTACTTACTGAAATCTCATTACTTTAATAGCTTTGAAACGAAACAGCGAGTGACAATAATTTCTCAACTGTTGACTGTCTAAAGAATGAGCTGCCCGGTTTTCTTGAATTGTTTCGATTTTTGCGCTGGGAAGACTACATACTTCTGCATTCGGATCGCGATCCTTCTCTTTTTTTCTTTCTTCTTCTTCCTCTTGAAGAGCTCGTTTATATTGAAGGCAAGGTATAGCACTCACAGGTACTTCGTGCTTTCTGACACTACCAGGTCCAAGGAAATATGGCTTTGCAAGGGTACAAACCCTACTTTGTTTGTGAAGATACAAAGGCATCCCACTGTTATGCGTCACTTGTACCCAACCCTCGGGAAGTACATCAAAATGATTGTGGCCGATTTCTGTAAAACGCATTGTACTATAAAAATGTAATATTTCATTTCTCCGTTATTTCGATACTGTAATTACGATCTTATTCATTTTTGTTATATATGAAGATATTTAAAAACATATAAATACCTACCATCCAAGACAAGCTTCTCTTTTTCTTCATACGGCACACTATCCCTCCTGTCTTTTCTCTTGCCTTTAAATTCCTCTGGTAAACCTAACAGTAGCATATAATACTCAACTAAAACATGTTTTCTGCTGCTGTACAATTTATGTAAGAAGTAAAAAAAAACAGAAGAACAAATCATCTGTTCTTTTTCTAAGTAATTTAACTCTTCCACCCAAATATTCCATACTTCCATGTATTGTACTTTCAGTATGTCTTTAAGAACTTTTATCCCATAAGTTTTTAATATGAACATGTATAAAATATACAGGGTGTTCTATTACGGGTCTCAGCAATTAAAGCACGGATTCTACATGCCAAACTAGAATAAAAATAAAAAATAACTAAATTCCGTTAAAGGCTACGTTTTCGAGTTAATAATTATCGAAAATACGGATGGAAAACATGATGATCATCGATCGTCGTACTTATCAAACGTTTTTTCGACAATTAATTACTCGGAAACAAAACCTTTAACGCAATTTTGTTATTCTTGATTATCATCTTACTTTAGTATGTAGAATCACTTCGTAAAGTTTCCGACACAAGTAGCCAAACACCCTGTATTTGGATGATTGACATCATTCCACTATTAAAGATTACCTTCTTCTAACATAGCTTCGATTTCTTCGTCGGGTACATCGGAGTCCATACTTTCATTTGTATCAGAGTCCATATCTGAACAGTTCTGATCTGTATGACGTTCTAAATCGTCTAAAACATCAAACTGTCTCAAATCGTCCGTAGCTGCAATGCTGTCTGTATTGGACTCCATAATATAATCTTCCATGGTGGAACTATTATATGCATTTGTGTCATCGACGGACGCAGTTTCCTCTTCCATTATTTGGCTGCATTGACTCGTGTCGGACATTCTATTATGAATATCAATGTTTGCTTCCGACATATCCTTAACTTCCAATACACTTTCATCCGTTAAAATAACATCTTGATGGTTCTCCAAATCCATCTCGCTCTGCGAATTCATACACAATGCAGGCGTTCCTTCAAGGACTTCTTCCTTCTCCGTGTCCATTACTGTACAACAAGGTATCTGCTAAAATACTATACGGTCTAACAACCAGTGATGTGTAAGCTGAATATTACAACAGATGTCTAACTTGTTATATTTGATAAAGTATGTTTTTATCTACAGTTGACAAATGTTTAAATATTGCTCAGGAAACAGATATATAATGTTAAGCTTAAACTCCATACATAACGACCCATGGATTAAATAATATTATGCGCGTTGTATGGCCACACCACTTTCACCAATGAGGCCAAAGTCCAATCGATTTGAAACCACTTTGAAAATGGCAACGAAAATTGGACATTTGCATTAGTGTTAGCAGTTTGGGGCCTATTATATATCCATGAGTACATATCGCATAACTGATACATTGTATTGTCTGAATATTGCGAAGGTTAGCCGACACAATTCCCTGTTTTATTTAGATGGTCAGCTAGACAGGAACAACATTGAGAAATTGAACCTGTGACTAGCTCAAGTTACACTTTGACAATTAAAAATATCTTGTTAAAACAATGTCCATAGTATATCTGATGAAAAGACAACACAAATTGTATGTAATTTCAATACATATTAATCATATATTAATTAAATTAAATGCTTAGAAAGTACATAAGAATGATATACTATAAAAGCTTTGAAATTAATCACATTGAATGTCTAAAATACAATAAAATTTCAGTTACCTAAGGTTTGATTACTTAACCCTCCAGTGCACGTGTTAGGTCCATGGGACCCATGAGGATATTGTTTTTCCATTTGAATACTCTTCACCCGAACACTGAAGGGTTAAAATATATATCATTGAGAAAATTATTATTAGAAATAAAAACTCTGGTTACGCTTAATAATATTTTATGTTACTCTTAAATCAATAATATTCCTCTAAGAAGACTTAAGTTTCTATTTATCTCCTGTCTCTGCAAGTTAGTCTATAAAAATATAAATTTGCATGAAGATTCACAGCTTAACTATAAGAAAATCTTTCATAACTTTTGTGTTAAGATAAAATAATTTACTAACACCCGTCAATTGCTTAACACATTCGAAACTGACGCGTTAGTACAAGACTATGGCTAAATTAAACGAATTAAATATTTCATGACTCATACGTTGGGTCATCGGTCTGGAATTTGTTAACTAAATTTGTCATGTACTATGTTAGCAAAAATTATTATATTAAATTATTTTTAGGAAATTATTACATCAAATGTATAAGTAAAATAAAAAATATGATTACGATTATAAAGTAACGATTTTTACATTTGTGATATAAATTTTATAACTAATACATATCGATATTAGCATTAATTTCATAACAGTACCTTTATTTATGTATATCACAATAATGTAATTTCAGTAAATTTGAAAGATTAGGTAGTTTTCCAACAATAAAATTTGCAAATAGGTTAGGTGCCATCTATATATGAATATTTTTCAGACTATTCATATTACGTTTTGTATTCGATTATAGACACATTGTTTACGTTAGTCCTATTAAGAATGTATAATTACAGGCACTATTTCATAATTCTAAATCATAAAATTGTATATTTCTTTAAACATCAACTGCACCTCACACGACACACGATCAGCCACATGCGTTTTCTATGGTTTTCTACAAATCAGCCAAAGAGGGTACAGGGGTCAGATTTTCCCACCTTCTACCCTCCAAACTAATTTTAAGGTTTTGGTTTAGTTCCCATAACAGATAAAATCGTCATAGATGGCGCTAGTGCTGTGATGATCACGGTACCAACAAATTGCTCCTGATGTGTTTTATAATATTCAATGGTCAGATATCTTAATAACAATGAAATAATTTTGCATACATGTTACGTACTATGACGTCATACATGACATTTCTTTGGTTCCCCGGCTTTTGCTAGGGGAAAAAATGGCATAAGGGAAGGTCATAGAACCTCCGCAGGAGGCGCCATAGACCCCGTGTGGTGAGAGAGTGGGGTCATAGAACCCCTGGTGGAGGCGCCAGAGACCCCGTGTAGTGAGATCGTGGGGCCACAGAACCCCCACAGATGGCGCCAGAGACCCTGTGTGGTGAGAGTGTGGGGTCATAGAACCCCTGGCGGAGGCGCCAGGGACCCAGTGTGGTGAGATCGTGGGGTCACAAAACCCCCCACAGATGGCGCCAGAGACCCCCGTGAGGTGAGAGAGTGGGGTCATAGCACCCCCGCAGGAGGCGCCAGAGACCCCGTGTGGTGAGATGTACTCTCACGAGCAAAGTTATTGAGATATCTGACTATTGATTATTATAAAACAGATCAGGAGCAATTTTTTAATATTTGTGTAAAAAGGTCATTTACTTATAATCTAAAGGTCATTAATCTATATTGTTCAAACTTCGAATCTAGTGTTTGGCAAAGAAAGAAGTTGTTCGTTTAACGTTGTAAATGTAAGAAGATCTTGCAAAATAATAACAATTTGTCAAATTTTAAATCGAAGAAAATTAAGAAATTATAATTCGTTTAGATGATTTTGGATTTACAGCTGAACATCGTTACAATATGTATACATACAATATATTTTTTCGTTTGCAAAGACATTATTCTTCCTTCTCTACAGTATGACTCCATTACACAACAGACATTAAACACTTTTGCGTGTTTAATTTATGGTCCAGGATATTTGTAGCACATGTCAAGAAGTGAAATATCGTAATTTAAAATTTAACTTTTCCAATATGATAAAATTTATAATAGAAGGAAAACGTGAGCATTCGCATATGAATATTTGGGTCCGATCACAATATAAATCAATGCAACAATGAGCACGTGATCAATTTTTCTATGTGTTCTTTTTGATACGCTTGATAAACTTCTTTAATCAGTTCAATCATCCCTTAATTCATCTGCATAATTACCGGAATATTTGTCACCGCGGTACATGGAACTTCATGATTATTGTTTCAAGTAATAAATACTAAGAATTTTGTTTTTTTTTTTTAACCAGAATGCTTTCGCAAATGTAAGCTCGTGGGTTCGAATCTCTTTCTAGAATCTGTATTTGAATACTATCCGCGTTTATTCCCGGGGCACCCTCTATATCCGATCGTACGCATAATCAGCGCCTTAAAAGCGACGAACAACCGGCCGGATAATGTATTACGTACACATGGCATCGAACGAAATGGAAAGTCGGAATGAGACCCCGCGCGAGATCACGATCTTAGTTCGATTGTGAAATAAGAGCTGCCCACGAGCGTGGTTCCGAGCAACAAACGAAAGTAACATCGGACCCGATCTTTTATTTGCAACCGAGCCAGACCTGGCTTTAAATTATTCGACATGTGCAAGCCAAACGAGTACCACACATTTCGAACGGTGAATCATTTCGAACTCATGTTCTATTCTTATTATTAGAGTAGCGTGTAACATCTGTAAAGAGAATTTCTTTCTACAATTAGAATTTCACGCTATAAAATTGAATTCAGCGCATTCTCATTGCCAAAAGTTAAAAAAAAGAAAACATTCGTAATGTGCAAAAATATTTTTCTAAGAGTAAAAATAATATTCCAACTATTATTTGTGTACCTTACAATCTAGATTTCCTATACGATAAGACGTACCATGAGCAAGTACGTTAAATTTCATGCACTTCTGTCTAAGATTGTACCACCCTCCGACACATCCTTTTAATAAATTACCGGGCGTAAATCATCTTCGACAAAAACTCCGCATCCGAAACGGGCAGTAAGATATAAAAATCGTCTCTGGGAACGGAATAGCGAAGCAACGAAGGAATTCCATCTGTATCCGTGCGCCGTGGGCAGACACCACCGGTGGTATCCGTGGATCTTAAAGGAGGCATCACGCCGCGGTCGGTTCCACGACGCGCCGGTCGTCCTTCGGTCGTGTGATTTAACGCGGTCCACGTGATTATTTATTAACCGGCATTAATTACCTTTATTAATCGGCGGCCACGGCGGAAAGTGTCTTTTCCATCGTAAATACCGTGTGCGGCGGGGGTATGACCGCGTGAGAGCAGAGAAATTTGCGGAATACCAGGGGTACACCACGCATGCGCGCGCGCGTGTACATATACACGGTCGGTTTCGCCGTCGACTTGGTAGCCGGCTTCGCCGCGGAAGATTAAGGGCTTATTACGACCGTGACAGAGAATTAATGATACGGTCGGCAGCGCGCGTTTATCGCGGCAACGATCTGAATAAATTCGTTTTTGCCCTCCTGTTCAAGAAAAAAGAAAAAAAAAGACAGAAAACACACAAAAGGCGCGGGGGCGTTTCTACAGAGCGTTTATCGGAACTAATTCGAGCACACCCACCTGTTCTAATTGCGTCGTTAAGGGAGGGGGAGGGGATGAATATCCGGTCTCCTTGGTCTCTAACGAGCCCGGTGATTGGGATTATTGAATACACCGCCCCCGGCCGAGATATCCTTATCGGCCGTCGAGGCGCAGCGGTTCGAGTGATTTCCCCGTGCGTGCCCGTGATTTACGCCGTATTTGCGTTCGCGCGCGTTCTCTTTCATTTCGGCCCCCGGGCAGCGTTACCTTGCCCCCCCCCCTTTCCCTTCCCCGTGCCCCGCCTTGTTCCGCCTGCTTCGCCTAGGTTAAGGCTTCGTTTACACGGCCGATTTCCTGTCCCAGTCAAGGTGTACACCCTCGAATGATGTACGTCGGGTACGTGACTCGAAAGTGAATTTTACGCCCTTCCTGTCTCCTCCAGCGGTTGGTGGTTGGGCGTGGTGCGTATTTACGAACGTTGAACGGCGCACGTCACTAGAAGAAGGTCACGAAAGGGTTTCTGGGACTGGACGAATTGTGCACCACCTACGCCTCGATTCATGCGGATCAAAGGTTTGTCTTAATTTTGTTTTTTATATTTCACGTTAACTTTCGTTGCTGTATTTAGATCTGATATTCGCCATGCGATACCTAGCGGGGAAAAGCGTAAGCTGTGAACGCCACCGCAGTACGCATGGCAATTATAGTTAATAGGATTGTCACCTGTCCAATCGCACATGCTCTGTATTGAAGTTAACATATTTATTGATATAATCGATACAAAACTGATATTGCCCCCCTTAAAGGAAACTAAACCGGTGGCTTGTCGACGCCATATTGATGAGGTACCTATAGGCTTCGCCCTCTATGTCAGGTCCCAGTTGATATAAACGTGTACTCGATAGGTGGGGGTAACGACACTGAATATAAGACGTGCGCCTAACATGGGACCCCGTAGTGATTTCCACAAAGAAGGAAATCGATACCGATCGGAATGATCTTGATAAGCCGATAATCCCTGTAACCGGTTGATTTTTCACTAAGACTAAATGCGACTAAGACGACCCTTGGAAACTTGGCCAGCCCATCGACCGGTGCCAATTATACCTACCAATTACCGTGGACGAATCGATCCGCGTATCGCGCCCAACCGAAACACGAAACTGCTCATTAAATCCGTCGTCTTTCAATGCCTCCCTCCACCTCCCACCCCTCCCCGCCACCGCTGGCGGGGTAATGGTGTGGACTCGTCCGCGGGCCTCTCAGCCCGCGAAACGGGGGAACGTTCCAGGTCCCCCGCTGGGCCCGGCGAGGTTGCCCGGGGTCATTCGATTCAATGGAAGGTCACTTCAAGGTCACCGGCGTTCCAACAACCGACCAGATTACAGGGCGCGATTTAGCTCGGCGGCCTCTGGGGCTGCCCCCGCGGGGGCCCTAAGTTTTCCGATGAACAGGGTAAATTCTCCAGAGACGGCCACGCTTGTAATATGTTCTCGAATTGGAAAAAGATAATTAGGTTTGTTGCGCTCGTTTTGTAACACATCTTGTACATCTGAGAGAACAAGTTAGCGTCTAGCTCGGTTGTCGGTGCACGTGTCCGTATTCTGGAAGCATTAAAGGAATAATTGTGCGGAACAATTACGTCAGAATTTAGTGTACGAGAGACATGGATGCCTACATTGCGTGGACATAATTATAGATACCCCAAAATTTTTAATCCTTGTGCATTGTGGTTAAAATAACAATGAACTTTTTTTTCTAGAGAATAGAGTCTATCGGTTTCTGGAGAAACATTATTTTTCGACGACAGATTTCTATGTATAAACTAGACTGCTAAGTTCTCTATATATATCGTTTATATAAAATGTACCCAAAAAGCATGTACAAAAGTATCTTATTTTGCAGATGCCCAGAAGCAATGTGTAAATATCGTTAAAATGGCATTTCACAAAAGATTAGTTAATAAAGGTTAAGCAACGAAGATTAAAATTTTTGTAGATGCTTTTTAAGGACACTTTATACAAGGAAGTTAGCAGTCTAGTATACATATACAGGGTGTCCTAGTATTTCTGGTACAACCGGTGAGGGGGTGATTCTACATGAGAAAATAAGTCGAAAATATGGAATAAATTTGTTTC